ATCAAATTTAAGTTTCATATGCATTATGATTATAGGAATAGGTATTGTCTTTAACAAATTATAAACTTTACTGTTATCTAATGAATCTCAGTTTGCTTCAAATTTGAAGTATTCACTACTTTATCATATAAATGATCCACGTCCCTATCTGGTTTATTCATATTTGATTAATATACTGTTTTGATGCATTTCTGAAATGTGTACAACTTTTTGTTGTACACATTACAAAAAGGCACAATCAGAAGTATCGTCGTTGCTAGCAGCATACATTGAATAGAATGTATATTATTCAGATGTCGAGTGACTAGATTGTTAACTTCTAACTAGCAATTACTTAATATTTATTGTCAGGGTCGACCAAGATGTAAGAAATGGAAACTTGCTGGAATATACTATGCTGAGAATTCTGTATTGTACCAAATAAATAATATTGAATAAAGCTAATCATAATAATAGTAAAGGTAGTAAAAACTTTCTAGAGATAGTTGACTTTATCAGGTTTCATAACGGCACACATAATCATCATGTTTTATACATGTAATTCACCTTAAGAAAACATATTAGTGTACTCCTCGAAAAACTTGTTATAAGAAATTAATTCAGTTTATTGACTTATTAATTCTATGCTTCCAGATTGTATAATAATTCATATTTTAATACGGGGTTCAAAAGAAAAGCACCTGGTCATTATTTAACTTTTCAGAAGGGGTTTTGTGGAGATTTTATAAATTTCACATATTGAAATCATGAGTCAGTTGAAGCTAAACCACCATGGAAAACCTAGAAGCAGTGGACGGCCAATCCGTCCTAGTATGGGACTCTACAGCAGTGTGAACCCACGATATTGCACCCCGCGAGATCCGAACCCAGGACCTATCAGTCTTGCGCCAGGCGCTTAACCAGCTAGAGCCATACTAGGACGAAACGGCCGTCCAGTACTTCCAGGTTTTCCGTGGTGGTCTAGCTTCAATTGACTCATGATTTCAATGAGTGAAATTATTTAAATTTGCCAGAAATAGTTCTTATTGGTTACTCTAGAAACTTCAAGTAAATCTCCACTGTTTTTCTTCTAGGGCATAAATAATCATTACCGATGATGTAACAATCCTTGATTTTTAGAATATAGTACAGAATTCAATATATAATGGATCCAAATGTTTAATATATGACTAGAGCTAATAAATTAGTGAAGCTTCAGACACTTATTACAAGAAAACGAAATACCCATCGAATTAGAAAATTCTTCATTAGTGATTTTATAAGCACAAATGATAATATATAAGTAACAAGTTTATATTGAAATGTTACCTTTCCTTTTTGCAAGTTATATATGATTGACTATATTAGGATTGTAAATGTTATTCAACCAAGAATTCATCTTGAATTCATCTTCATTGTTAAATTGATCTTGGTCGTGAAAGACATAACTTGATGAGAGTATAATTTACGAACGAACTAATAAGATTTAGGATAACAGGTCTTGATGCAAAATTCATTCATCCATTTGACTAAATAGTGTTTTGGCATTTTAGTTGATGTCAGTTCGTAATGAAAAACCCTAAAACTAATTCGCGATCCTTACCATCAACTGTAAATCATTGTCTTTATTCTTCAAACTGCTTTCTAACCTCCATTTAACCTTATTAAGTGGGTAGACACTCAAAATCACTTTGGTGTCGTTCAAAGGTCATCCATAAATTATAGTTTCACTATAACTTCATTACAACACACATTTTATATATGAGAATAAGAAACATTTTCACTAATGTTGTATGTAAAAGATGATCATTAACTCTAGTAAATACTGATGATGGGATATAACAAAATAAGTAAAATATTCCATAACTGACATGTTAGTGAGCGTTTTCCTTCATGATTAGGGATGTCTCAAAATGCATTGAATACATCTTCTTTAAAGTATATTTAGTTAATAATAACAAATTAATAGTTACAAATGATACATTTAACATCATCTAAACCATATTGTTTGTGAGAAAATAGCTTATTGAATCTAGTCAGCTTTTATTATTAGTTTATTATTTATTTAAGGAAATTTTTAAATTACAAGCGGATAAGAATTTTCATCTAAATTTAATCGAATAGTTTCATATTCTAAGCAAAGATGAGTTGTGGATAGCATTTGAATCCAGAACGTGTGTTTCGTCCTGTTCAAGACTCGTCAGCTGGAAGTACCTGTATCTCAGAGTTGATATTCACTCTGGGATTCGAACTCAGTGCTTTTCGCTTCGAACATTATCAAGATATCTACTATTTACTTGAATCTCTTGATTGATGTTCAGGATTGATTATTATTTAGAAAAATCGATATTTTTTTAAAGAGAATGGTTAAACATTATCCTAGTTACTAATTGTATAAACAGATCTATATTAAATTATACGATTCACTGTTAGGCATAGTTCTTTTACATTAAACGACGTTAGCTTATTCAATTTCGAATTTTTTTATGACCATTTTGTAAAATTTTAACCAGAAACTACCCCAAGAGTAATATTTTATAAGTCGATTTAAATTATCAATATAAGTTTCAGTAGAACATCTCTGACTGTGAAGCTGGGTGACACGAGATTGAATCCGCCAGGGATCACCAGTTCCCTCAAGATTACAGATACACCTTACTGACAAGTACCAAGTAGCACGAAACCCGGGTCCAAGGTTTCCTGTCGACTACCTCCAACCAACATCTAATCACACTTGTCCAATGTTCCATGGTGTTTAGGCGTTATTCAGATGAAACATTAAAACGAAAGAATATATTTGTAAAATCGATTTGAAGTAAATCCAACGTTTCATCTGGCAATCTGGTTCAAACTTTCTTCAAAGAAATTTCATCAATTATCAATTACATTCTTCCACTTCAATGTCTCACATCAAATCGGTGCCCAAATACTGTGAAACTATTTGATCAAATTCAAACGAAAGTTCTTATATATTATCCATTCATCATAAAAAAGTGGTTCGAATTGAACAATTCACATAAATCCTTACTATAACAATAATAATAGTAATATCGTTATTACCTGTGACTAACATTGAAAAGAATTTCTGCAGTGGAGATTACCATATAGAAATTATAACTGTTACCAGTAGTTCTGATGAATGATTACGGGAAAATTCATAGATAAGTTGAATACCTTAATAAAACTCATGAAAATCTAGAGTTCCATTACATATCAGGTCATTGGTAGGCATCTAACCTATAATTCTTAATTTTCAATGATTATACAATTACTTTGATTACAAAATAGAATAATATTCACAACCTTTTATAAATATTAGACATAATCTAACTGAATAGTTGAATTCCTGAATCAATTAAAGCTAGACCACTATTGAAAACCTGGAAGCCCTTGACGTCTGTTTCGTCCCATCATGGGACCATTCAGCAGTGCGCAACCACAATTCCGCGCGCGGACGCTTAACCTCTAGATCACTGATTAAATAACTAAACTCGTATATGTTAAACTTTTGTACTGATTACATTTAACACTCCTTATGATTAATTAATTAAAGAAACTAATGAATTATTAGAAAATATCATACAGAGGTGGACTAAATGTTAGAGAATCTGACTTACAAATCAATATCCATGATCTTAACAGATAGATCTTGCTGTTTAATATACTAACAAGGTTAAAATTTAGGTCTAACAAAGTATATTATCAATGATCTTCAATCACTTAGTACTAGTATTTATACCTTTTACTGGTTATGAAAAAAATGAAGACGTTTCGATCATACGAAACTAAGTTCATAAAGATCATAACGGTAGTTTATTCAATAAAATCGATACGTTAAGTATCCAATTCGAAATAGACACATTGGGATTTTAAGTTTAATCTATAAAATATATGAAGTCGTTAATGTTGGACATAACAAAACATCTCTATCGGTTATGTGAGATAATGGTCATGCACTGAAAAAAATTGAATAAATAATCACTGATTGAAATGATGAGTCAATTGAATCTAGACCACCATGGAAATCCTAGAAGCACTGGACGGCCGTTCCGTCCTAGTATGGAACTCCTCAGCAGTGCGCATCCACGATCCCTCACCCCGCGGACTTCGAACCTAGGGCCTACCAGTCTCGCTCCAGGCGCTAGACCATAGAACCGGCATCCAACTGTGTTAATGATTTCAATCAGTGAAATTTCTAAAATTTCCACAAAACCCCTTCTGATAAATAAGAATCATTAAATTTTTGCCTACTAATTGAATGGTAAAACAGCTATCACAAAATTTAAAGCTTCTATGTCCGTTAAAAGGTGTGATTGAACCGCGGGTATATCTGATAAGTTACCAATGCTAACAAAACAGATGTGTAAAATTACATTGTTTATGGACGATCCCAATGAAGGATAGACAATACTTTCGTACTAAGTTAATTGAAAGCAACAATACTCAAAATGACACAGTATCAATCACATTACACTCCTACAGAAAGAATAAAGAAGCTTATTATGATTTGTTGAGATAAATATTTGACAAAGAAAACTTGTAGATCATATTTACCTTCACTTCAATGAACAACTGAGCTTAATCAACATATACATTGATTATTTACTGAGTACTTATTGAGTTTATGTTTATGTAGCCCTTGGCGTAAAGTAACTACTATCGATCACATTACAATATGACCAACTATATAGCCTCTTTTTTTAAATGTTATATGTTTGAAGACAGTCAGACACAAGCTCTAAAACTAAGATTTTTAAATAGTTTATCTTAACTTGGAATCCTGAAGAGAAGCAAAAAAGAGAAAGTTCAAAGAATACATTATATCGGGAAATTGAATGAATAACAACTGGAAAGAACAGGAAAGCATTGCCTAGGACATGGTTGAATTGAGTGCGCTAGTAGGTGGCCTATGATTCTCCACAAGGAGTAACACATGTAAGTAAGTAAGTAAACTAAATCCTCAAACAACACAACATGTTGAACAAATACAAACATTAACTAATTCAATCAAATGAAATTACCTCCATGTTTGTCAATTTCTCTATGAATATTAGATTCTTCTTGTGAATGATTAAAAGTTGAATTGATTGTCTTGGATACATTGAATTGTTGATGAAAGTTAGTTTTTGTAAAACCCATTTGATTATGATTGTGATTCATATTAAAGACTATAGAGTTGGAACCATCAACACTATGATTACTACTATTAGTACTATATATCTTTTGTTCAGGATAGAATTTTCGAAATGTATTATTTACATTATAATTATTATAGAATTGTGCTAATGTAATATCAGATGAAGTATTTTGATCATAATCATTTGAATGATATTTAAATGTTGGTTCCGAATTGATTGTTGTCATGGCAGTTGAAGAACTTGAACCGTCAGTTAATAATGATGGTAGTAATGGTAATCTACTTCCACTATTATTATTATTATTACTACTACTACTACTACTATTACAGCAACTACTACTATGACACTGATTGAAAGTTTTAGAATTTTTTGTTAAATAACTTGATAATTGAGTATTCAACACAGTTGATTCAGTAAAACTTGATGAAGTCAATGTAGATAAATTAGATTTTGTCAAAGAAGTAGATAGATCATTTGTCATTTGATCAATAGGATAAACGTTAATGAGATTAGTTTTATTCATTAAATTATTATGAATTCCAGTCATTTGATTATATAGAAATGGATCATTCATTGTATCATGATATGAATGTTGTGCTATTGTTGCAAATTGTTTCCAATTTGTTGGATTCCATACAATTGAATCAAATAATGGAATGAATGATGTTTCATTTGTATTAGTTGTCATTGTTGTAATAGCACTTGTTGCTTCAGTATAAATACATATTGGTTCTTTTACATCTTCTTTGAATGATCTATCATTCTCTTCATTATTTAAACTTGTAAACCATCTATGATTTGATAGACCCATTATTGAGTTATTACTATTATGATTATTAGTTTTATATGAATAAGCATAACTCTGACTTGGATGTTGTATGTTTGTTGAACATAATTTCGAATTGATTGTTTCATTATTCAATGGAACATAACTTGATGTCAATGTAACATTTTCACATGATATATCGGAACAATATAAATCTCCTGTTGTTGCATTTGACAATCTTATTAGATCATTTGTTATTCCTACATTTCTACCATGATTACTTTCATTGATAAATGATTGAATTGAATTATTTGTTAAGTTCCCAATAGATGTTGTTTGATATTGTAATGATTGATTAATCAATGGATTAGGTAATGTCAATCCTAAATGGTTATAAATGTTATTATTAGTAATTTCATGGTTAATATCAACATGATCATTATGATAACGATAGTTTAATTCAATTTGTTCATTTGTCGGTTGATTAATTTGTGAACAAAGTGTTGAATTACTATTACTAGATTCCATAACATAAATATTAGGTATTACCATGATTATTCATATATAGATATCATGTTAGTAATTAGAAACTGTTTATTTTGCTGTTGGTAGCATATCATTACACCAGTGAGTAACTATTACATAATAGGATTACACTAATTATGTTTAATTTGTATAGTTTCATCTCTCCCATCCCCCCCCCAAAAAACGATACCATATTCTGTTGTATCTTAGTAATATTGTTTGTTTTCTATTTGTTTATATTCTTCTATTTTCTCAATTAAACAATCTTCATCTATAGGACATTTAAACAAATCAACATACAAACAATGAAATAATCCAATTCTATGGAAACATCCTCCTCCTTCTCCTCCTCCATTGAATTCCTAAAACAAAAAATCTATTTTCTCATCCTTCTCCTCTGTGCTCAAATAGATTGAGTTAGAAAGAACAAAATAAAGTTGTAAACGCATTTATAAAATATTGGTTTAGAATAGAAAAAAATATTAGAAAGAGGGAGAAATATTATTTCCCTACTCTTTATGATTGCCCTATTCTAACAAATTTTATAATCAACATAACAATTAGCTTAATTTAATTTGATTGGCGATAGGGAATTATTATTATTATTATTATTATTATTATTATTATTATTATTATTATTATTATTATTATGACAGTTGCTAAACGTTACAAATTATAGATTTTTTTTCCTACTTCAGGATTATTGATCAAGTAAGGAATAAATGAAAGTTGATTAAGCAAAAATAGATAGTGGTTAGAGTAGTGGAATTCAGTTTGATGTGTATTTCATCAATTCTATTTAGGACTCATCAGCGATTCATCTTGACTTATAAACCATATAACTTTAAACAATATCGAATCAATTCGCATAGGATGTACATACACTAACAAATAGACTGATCAACTGTAGTACTAAATAACAATGGGAAGATACAAGTCAAACAATACCAAATGAACTTTTTTGGAATATTTTACAATGTGACTGGGAGTGAAATCTACGATAACTAGTCGGTTTGATGCATTCGCATACCAGTATTGCTATTTATAGTGAGATTTAGTAGTTATCACAAAGAATATTAACGTTTTCTTGATTAAATTTGGATAGTTACTAACTTATACAACAAGTTTAGAAGATATTAGTGACGATTTATATTTTCCATTGATGTTAAAGGTACTAATTGATCAATCGATGCTGATATATGTGCATCCTGTAAAGATGCTTTGAATTTACCTGTAGGTAGTCAAGAATGTTTTTTTTCTTTTGGAAGTTGTTTTACTAGAAAGTCTGCTATTAGATGTAAAGTAGCGAGAATCAAAAAACACTGGAGAAATGCATCGTAGCTAGTTCACAATTTTCACAAATCTTATTATGACTAGGATACATTTAGACCATTACAATGGTTTCAGTAACTTGATTACTGAGGATACTATAGTCTGTTAAATGTTGTTACCTAAATAAATGAAAATAATATGACATTATTCACCAGTCTCGGTTAGTTATATTCACATGTATTACAAAGCAGCTATGTCAAAAACAGTCAATGAATATATACATATATATACATATCACGGTCCTACATGAGGTCAGTTGTAGCCTGAATAGTAAAATGAAATGGATTGTATTTCACAAGGATGCATAAAATCTTATTTAGATTGTAGATGCTTCATTCTTGTAAGTGATAAGTTAAATTGAATCTATGTCTAGGACATGCCATCAACTTTCTACAATCACGTTACATCAAATCACTAAGTTTTGCAAATGATATGAATTACGAAAATTTTGTTCGAAAAGCAAGAAGTATTCATTCATCAAATAGTACTATTCAATGACCGAATATCGACATAAATTGATGTCATGGAATAATCTGCAAATCTGGCTGGATAGAAACAAGTCAAACCATAAATTATCTACAGACTATACCAATGATTTTCAATATGTGCTGGTATTTCATATTATTTTCTTCATGAAGTTTTATAGCAAAACTAGAAAACGACCAATTCAGTTCAATTATTAATCGATTTCACTTATACGTAAGATACATGGACGACACATTTGTCGTTTGTGACGATAATACTGAATTAGAGAATATCTTATACACGTTCAACTCATGTCACCATTCAATAGACTTCACGTTACAAAGTGAGCGAGACCAATTAATCTGTTTCCTTAATGTACGTCTGATGAGAAGGTGTAATGGTTCCTTAAAAATATCCATCTTTAGAAAACAAACATGGAATGGCTAGCTAACCAACTTCTATAGATGGGTTCCTTTAAGTAGAAAGATAAATCTCACGCACTCTTTATGTCACCGAATACATCGGATATGCAGTACGAAATGCATCGACGAAGAACTCTCATTCCTAAAAAACTGACGAAAAATGGCTACCCAGACCGTTTCATAGAGAAGAATATGATTAGAAGTAGTTGTGACAGGAAATCTAGTTGTTTCGTTCCAAAGAAAATCCTCTATATAAGGCATCGAACATCTGACGTAATCGAGAATCGTCTAACGACAGCGATCAAAGGAATATTTACTGCGGAAAAACTGCAAATAACTTTCACTAGTAGGAAATTATCTTCTGTATCCATAAATGATAAGCTTCCGCGTTTGGTTACCTCCATCTCCTACCATTTCAACTCCTCTTGTGGAGCAAGGTACATTAGTCGTAGCCAGCTCTCGCTTTCAACTCGGATACAGGAACATGTCCCAGTTTGGTTCTATGATCTTCATGTGTAAACACTAGAATATTATAAATATGTTTGCAAAATATTAAAGGTTCTTTTGTTTTACTCAACTCTTTTGCATTCATTTCATTCTTTACATGAACTTTGTATGACATGTCATTTTGACTTCTTTTATTTAGTCTATTCTCTACGTAGCCAAGGATATCTAGTCTTAGTGCTATATCTGGACATTTCTAAAGCTTTTGACATGGTTAGCCACCAACTTCTTATAGGTAAGCTCGCATCTTATGTGGTCCAAAATCCTTTGCTAGATTGGTTTGATTCCCTTCTCAGCAATCGACATCAAATAGTTAAAATTAACTCTTGATTGTCTAACGCTATCCCTGTTAGAAGTGGTGTAATACGAGGTAGTGTATTAGGCCCTTTGCTCTTTTTAGTGTTTATCAATGATATGTGTGAAAGTTTTTGTGTCAGTAAGCCCCTTCTATGTGCAGTATATTCACTTTCTCCACATGAGCTGAAAAAAATTGCATTAACATGGAGCTTAACAAGGTAGCACAGTGGTGCTTAAAATGGCAACTGGAGCCTAATACGGCTAAATATGAACGGATATGCTTCGGCGATACACCGCTCAGCCTAGACCTTACCATGAATGGAGAAGCGTTATCTAGGTTACATACAGTAGTAGACTTAGGACTTAGATTCTCCTAAGACTTGTTTACAGAACAGATATTGAAACAGACCTCTAAGTCTCAACGTCTAATAGGTTACATAACTCGAAATATTTACAACAATGAGTCACGTATTCTAATGTACAAAGTTTGTGCTCAACCTCTTCTAGAATATTGCACGTTTATTCTTAGCAGTGCGGGCATAAAGGATAAATTAAGGTTGGAATCAGTTGAGAGACGATTTACACTTCGTATTCTTGAAGCTGATTGTACCTTAACTTATAATTCTAGATGTAATAAACTTGGGCTAGACCCTTTATGGAAGAGAGGACTCAAACTAAATTTGATCTTTTTCTTCAAACTACTTCATAAACTATCTTTTACATCCAATCACGTGATTCAATATGCAGAAACTTCTCATTATGACCTTCGTAAGTCCTTGTCACTAGTGAAACAAACTTATTCTAACTCATCTCTTTGTATAAATTACTTTACCTGTAAATTTTCTAGACTCTGGAATAACCTAACACAATCTGTCCGTACGATAAAATCACTCCCATTATTTATTCGCTGCATCGATGCATACTGCTCCTCTGAAAATGCATTGAATGTTCTAGCAAATGTAAGTTTATCTTATTTTACAAGTAATATTATGGGAACTTTAAACGTTTAGCCGTTTTTACTAGTGCATTCCCTAAGTAAAACCACCTACTTGCTGTCAATTTGTGTTAACATCGTCCCCAGCAACTTTAACTAATTTGAATAACATCAACAGTATATCACTGTGTCACATGACACATGCATTTTGGTGGACCTGATTGTCATATTTTTTGGTGATTACTGCTTTGTTGTTCCCTGCTCTCTGTTTTCGTTTTAATTTCTCTAGTTATAGATAATTATCATCAATTCGATCTGGCACACGAAATGACCGTAATTACACCGTTCATAACATCAACAGGCTGTCCATTAAAGAATTAAAAATTCCCGGTTGATGCATTGGATTGATGTCATACATATACTACTTAAACAATTACTGAACTAGTATACTTAAAACTTTCTTCTATCACATGTTTATTCTCTACATCTAATGTTACCATTTTTTATCAAATGGATCATGCCCCTGTAAACTGGTGTGAATTCTGTAATTATTATTTGCAGAATATATAAATTATTGATTTATTTTTGTAAGGTCTATCATTTTTCCTTGAAAGTTATTCATATGTATAGTAACTCATCTTGACCACAGGTTAAACTCAGGAAATTCAGGTCGGTGAAACTATAATTTATAGACGAACCAATCAGGTGTACAAGATTTTGGCGCGAAATTCATTCATCCATTTGAATAAACAGAGTTTTGGCATTATACTTGATGTCAGTCCGTGATGAAAATCCTTAAATCTAATTTCTAATTTTATTCATCAACTATAGATCATGATTTTAATTCCTCACACAGGTTTATAAACCTCATTTAGTTCTAGTTATTAGATGGACACTCTCAAGGTCAATCTGGTGTCACTTAAATGGTCGTCCATAAATTATAGTCTCACTTTTAAATCTCATTGTGACTAGGTAACACAATGGTATAATTATAAACCTAAAGTTTATTGATTTTGGTCTGTGAAAAGGGATCTTACATCCTAAATTAAGTTGAAACATTTATACAGTACTGA